TGTGACTGGGTTACCTCACTCAGGATGGTTTCTTCTAGTGTCATCCATTTGCCTGCAAATCTCAGGATTCCATTGTTTTTTCTGCTGAATAGTACTCCATTGTGTAAATGTACCACATTTTCTCTATCCACTCTTTGGTTGAGGGGCATCTAGGTTGCTTCCAAGTTCTGGCTATTACAAATAATGCTGCTATGAACATAGTGGAACAGACATCCTTGTTGTATGAATGGGCATCTTTTGGATATATGCCTAAGAGTGGAGTTGCTGGGTCTTGTGTTAGGTTTATTCCCATTTTTCTGAAATCTGCATACTGATTTCCAAAGTGGCTGTACAAGTTGACTCTCCCACCAGCAGTGGAGGAGTGTTCCCCTTTCACCACATCCTCTCCAGCATAAATTGTCGTTGGTGTTTTTGATTTTAGCCATTCTGACAGGAGTGAGATGGTATCTCAGAGTTGTTTTGATTTGCATTTCCCAGATAGCTAAGGATGTTGAGCACTTTCTCAAGTGCCTCTCAGCCATTTTAGACTCCTCTATTGAAAATTCTCTATTTAGTGTAGCCCACTTTTTAACTGGATCCTTTGGTGTTTTGGAGACTTGCTTCTTGAGTTCTTTGTAAATTTTGGAGATCAGCCCTCTGTCAGATGTGGGGTTAGTGAATATCTTTTCCCATTCTGTGGGCTGCCTTTTTGTCTTGCTGACTGTGTCCTTTGCCTTACAGAAGCTTCTCAGTTTCAGGAGGTCCCATTTATTAATTGTTGATCTCACTGTCTGTGCTACTGGTGTTATGTTCAGGAAGCTATCTCCTGTACCAATTTGTTCAAGGGTACCACCCACTTTCACTTCTAAGAGTTTCAGTATGGCTGGATTTATGTTGAGGTCTTTGATCCACTTGTTCCTTGATATTTTAAGAAGAAAACATACTGTGTTCAAGTGAAATGTTTTGTAGACATCTACTAGGTCCTTCAGATCTATAATGTCATTTAATTCTATCCAGAAATTTTTGGTTCATTTTATTTTTTGTCCACTTGGTCTAATGGTGAGTGTGTATATAGAAGTTACCCACTATTACTACATTGAGGTTTGTCAGTGACTTTTATTCTAGTAGTGTTTATTTGAGGAATTTTGGTGAGCCTGTGTTTGTTGCATATAGATAGATAGATAGATAGATAGATAGATAGATAGATAGATAGATGGATGGATAGAGGATTATAATTTCATTTTGCTGGGTTGTTCTCTTGATCCCTAAGAAGTGACCCTCTTGTGTCATCTGCCTTGATTTTGCTTGAAACCAGTTTATATCAGATACTTAATAAAAACACCTGATTGTTTCCTGGTTCAATTTGCTTGAAACATCTTTTTTCCATCCTTTCACCCTAAATTAGTGAATAATATTTATCTTTGGTGGTGAGCTATGTTTTTTGGAAGTAACAAAAAAATTAACGTTTTGTTGGTTTTGTTAGTGTTTAATGATTTCTTGGTCCCTTTTTGCTTGAAGAGTATCTTGGTGTTGTTTATATTTTCCTGCTATAGCCTCTTAGATGTGCTTGTCTTTGTCTTCAATCTGATGTATTCCATCCAGTATCTTCTGTAGGGTGACTTCATGATAACATTCTGCTTTTATTGTAGAAATTTTTCTTTTATTTCAGTTATGATAGTTTTGCTGGATATATTAGTCTAGGTTGTCAGTTGTGATCTTTCCACATTTAAAATACATCATTTCAGGCCCTTTTCATGTGATCATCAGTTATTCTGATAGGTATCCCTTTGTATTTGACTTTGCCCCTCACTTTTGCAGATTTCAATATACTTTAATTATTCTGTATATACATATATAACATGAGAAATGTCTTTACTGGTCCTGCTTGTTTGGTGAGCTGTGTGCATCTCATATTGTATGTATAGAAGGGCTTCTCTTTCCCTAGATTTTGGAGATTTTCTTCTATGACTTCATTAAAAATATTTTGTATGTTTGTTGTATGGAATTATTTTACCTCTTTTTTGTGCATAATTATCAATTATACCTTTTCATGTTGTTCCACAGTTCTTCTGTGGTCATTCCTACTTACGTTATTATCTTAACTGAATGACCAGTTCCTCTATTTTGTCTTCCAATAATGATCCATTCTGTTTTGTTTTTATTTCCATTATCATTTTAGTTTGGGTTTTCTTCAGTATTTGTCTATATTGAATTTTATTTCTGGGTCATTGGTTGGTTATTTTATTCAGCTGTTTGTATTCTCTTGGAAAATATTCATGCCCACATTGGATTGTTTAAACATATGTTTAACCATTCTCTGAGCCTTTCATATGGGATATTACATAAGTGATTTTCATCAGGGACCATTGCAATAGGATTGATAATTCTGGAGGAAGTATGTTGTCTTGGTTTTTTCTGTGTTACTTGTGTTTTTGTAGTAGGATCTGCCCATCTGGATTTATATCATTGGTTAAGATTTGTGTTGTTACTTTTACTCTTTTAATTCATGACATCTCTTTTTCAGTTGAGGGACATTCAAGAGACAGTAGGGTCTAGTACTGTTGTGTTGATGGGTTAGACTGGTAACTGGTACACTATCTGCAGCAATAGTTGCTACCTAGTGTTTTACTCACTGTGAACAGAGTAGCAGTTGACTACAAAACAAACACTTATTAAGTAGCAATTTTTGTTTGGGCATTAAGGGACCCAGAAAATATTTTTTATACTAGATATGTCCATTGTTGTGGGTAAGAGTAGAAAAGAAGAGAAAGTAAGAAGAAGTGAGCAATCACAATGGGTTAAATGGGTTTTAGAGAAGGGAGCATACAAGGAATGGGAATAATAAAGGCCAAGGGAAAATGAGAGATGTGGAAGTTCTGCTTAAAGGTGGAAAAGAGCAGGTGGATCTCTGTGAGTTCAAGGCTGAGCTGGACGGACAGCCTCCAAAACAATACAGAGAAACCCTGTCTCATTAAAAAAAAAAAAAAGGTGGAAAAGAAGGTACAGTAAAGACGTGTACTCTGATCTCAGAAACCCGGTCAGCCTTGTGCTATGAGTGAAGTCATGGTAAAAAGAAAGGGTATGTGGAAAAGATAAATGTTGTTGCTGTTGTTTTTATTAGCATTAACTGAAGAACACTGCTCTTAGTTTTACAGACATTTTTCATCAGGCATATCTTTTGTGCGTCTCCAAAAGACCATATAGTTATAGTATTTTCTTCAGTTTTACTTCCACTGGCTTTATTTATGCTCTGCTAGTAAGAAATGAACATTAAATTCTATCCCCTGTGCTTAGAGATCATTCTGTGCCTCCTGGTGGGGGTGGCAGATTTGTTTGCATATCTGGAAACTAGAAAATCCACGTGTGTTAACTAGTTATATGCAATCTACAAGGTTGTTCTCTGTGATGAGATGCTAGACTATACTGCAGTAGGACTGCTGTGAGCATTCAATTTGATGCTGACATAGCCGTTTATGCTTTTGTGTCTTTTGGCTGTTTTGTTGCCTTTTTTCCTTTATTATTTTAATATTTGGTGCCTTAAAACCTAGGTGTGTCCTCCCATACCCATGTTTCTTACATCTATTTTTTGTCATAATTTCTTACACACTCATCCTCCTGTTCTGCATGAATCTATGCCTTTAGGGTGTGTTTGTATGCATGTGAGTACACATGCATGTGGGTGCACATGTTCATATGTACATGTATGTGGAAGACAGAGGTTGACGAAAGGTGACTTTCTCAATTGTTCTACACTTTATTTGCTGAGGCAGGGTCTCTGGCTGAACCCAGATACTGTCAGTTCTGCTAGCCTAGATGGGCAGCTTGCTTTGGGGGCTGTGCTATCACTTCCCTCCACTTGACTTACAAGCAGACTGCCACCTCATCCCAGGAGCTAGATGGGATTTGAATACTGAACTCCAACTATCATGCTTATACAGCAAGCCACCTCCCCCAATCTCTGCTTTTTCTTCATTAGCCTCATCATCTGAGAATGCATTTATTATGTATGTATGTGTTATGTACACATACTAATAGAACTGACCTTGTACCACAAAAACCTCAATGATCTGAGAGCAGGGACTTTGGTGTTCAGCAATTGTGGTGCATGCCTATAGTCAGAGAGCTTGGGAAGCTGAGCATGAAGATAGTAAGTTAGAGACCATGGGCTACATAGTGAAGAAACTGTTGGAAGTGGGAGTGGTAGTGTGAATAATTATTTTAAAAGATATTAGTTTCATTAACTGGTAGGGACGTTGGTTCAGACTTGAGACCATGTTCCACAAGACAAGGAGAGCAGATGCGAAGGGAAGGGAAGGGGAAGGGAGGGAAGGGAAAAGGAGGGTGGTGACCCAGAGAGGGCTGTGCTGGAAGGTGGCAGGTGGAGTATGACCGGGAAAGAGGTGGAGGAAAGCAGGAGGAAGCAGAGTTTAGGAGTTCATGCTTCAGAGGCACAAGCATGAGTGAACTTGACTCAGGCCAGGGAAACACATTCCCAGTCCCTCTAGTCCAGTTTTGCACCCCTGCTATTAGTTTTTGGAAAAATTACATTTATCTGGTTTAAAGTATAAATTAAATTCAAAGAAACAATATGTAAAAGTCTCATGTTTATTCCACTGGTTTATTTTTCTCACCATTTTTCTTTCATTTGCATTACTTTCGATTAGAATTGTTGTAAGATTTTTCTTTTTAAATGAACCCCATTTGGATGTATTTATTCATTTAAATTATGTCCAAGAACTGGTCATAGAGGTTTATGTCTTTTATCCTAGCAGTCAGGACTAAGGCAGGAGGATTACTGTGAATTCAAGACCAGCCTAGGCTACATAGTGAGTACCAGGATAGTCTAGACTTCAGGGTAAGATATTGTCTACAAAGAATGTTATTGCTTGTTGTTGTTGTTGTTGATGATGATGATGATGATAAAATAAATGATGTCTTTCTTTCTGAATTGCTTATTTACAAATTATTTTCTGCCTTCTAATATATTATAATATTTCATTATTTATTTCCTTCGTTCACAGAGTCCCTGGACAAATACATGTTCTCCTTAGAGCCTTGAGGATTAGCCAGAAGGCAGAGGGGATGGCAAGGCAAACATTCATGGCCTCCACACCACTTCCTTTTATAATTTAAACATGGTCTTGTTTGATTGACTCTGTCCCTTTCTCTCGCCTCATCCAAGTGCTGTGCCAGACTGTACTCTGGGCTGAGTGGCAGGTTTCCCACCCATGATATGCAGGCTAAAACCATCACAGTGACAGAGTCAGAGTCCCTGAATCTGTGTGACTTGGGGTTCCCACCCAGCTGTCACTTCCTAGCTGAATGAGCCTTATCAGGTCATTTGGCCCAAGCCTAAGTCACATGCCACCTACTCAACGTGGCCAGTGCCATCATCTGCTTTAAAGAACAGTGGGATCAGCCAGAGTTGTCACAGCACTTCAGTGTTGTTGTCATCAAAGGGCCTGAGAGCAACAACTCTTGATAGTAAGGATTCATTTTGGCTTATGTTTTGAGGGTGTGGAGTCAGTACAGCAGGGGAGGCTTGATGGGCGGCTTCAGTTTGTGGTGGAGAAGTGGGGACTGACTGTTCACATCATGGCAGACTAAGAAGCAGAAAGTAGCAAGAAGCCTTGGCCAGCTATGACCTTCAAAGGCCTGTACCTTGTGCTCTGCTCCCCCAAGGCCCATCTCTCAGGAGTCCTCAAAAGCCAAAGTATTGTCACCTTGCTGTGGAACAAGTCTGGAAGGGACAACTCAGAACCAATCCTTATCAGGATGCTCCATAATTGGACTTGTTGCACTTTTTGAAGGGCATTTACACGTGGCTTGTAAGCATTACCTACATAGTATAGTGTGGTTTAAGTGCTATTCTTAGTTTACAATAAGGACAATGTAGACATGAAGTTATTACATGGGATGTCTGTGAGAACTTGAATTCCTCATGCCCTGCCATGTACTTTCTCTAAGGATAAGCAAATCTTCACAAAAATTCAGAATTGATGAGTTCTTGCTTAGAGTACATAAGCAACCCTCACCACTCACCCCTACAGTTTTCAGGGTCCTCACCCTCCCACTAGAATCTACACATACAAGGTTTAATATGTTGCTCTTCCCAGTCTGATCTTATTTAGAAAATCAGACTGGGAAGAGCAACATATTAAACCTTGTCATGTTCTCTACAAGTTCTTATGTCAAGGGTGGATGATGGACAGCTACACTTTTAGGGAAAACTGAGTCTAACTTTTTTTTTAATCTCAGCAGAACAGTAGTTTTAGTATTCTTCATTCCATCCATGCTGAGGTCTCTGACTGAAAAAAATAACTTGGCTTCATTGTAGGAAGCCCATCAGTTTCAAATGGAAAATAATCGGTTCAGAAAAGGATGGGTGGGATTCCGTCTTCCTCCTTTTCCTGTTAACCAGAGGAAAATGAATTTTGGCTGAAAGATGGCTTGGCAAGGACTTTGACTCTTTGAAGGATAACTCTGTGGACTGCCTAAAGAGGAAAGCCACAGGGACACTGGGCATGCATCTGTGCATATTTCACAGGCCTTTTCAATCAACAGTGACCTGGTCCATGTGTCCCAAGAGAGTTTCTACTAGAACACCATTCTCCAGCAGGAGTCCTCTGCAATATGTAAGCCATTAGTAGTTATCTGTGAACTTTCAGAAGTCTGACTCATTTTCCTGTTCTCCACAATTCTAGGGGAATGTCACGAATGAGTGAGAAAATCTGAGGGGAGAGAAAAGGAGGAGATTAGCTAGTGTACACACACACACCACACACACACATATACACTACACATATGCACTCATACTACACACCACACACACACACGCACCACACTTTCTTTATTAATCTCCTGATGGGCATCTAGGCTGTCTCCATATCTTGAACTGTGAATGTTGTCACAATAACTGGTATCTCTGTGGCATGCTGACTTGCATTCCTTTAGGTATATCCCCCGGGCATGGTAGAACTGGTGCATTTGCTAATCCTATTTTTAGTTTTTTGAGGAGCCTCTATATTGATATCCAGAGTGGCTGACCATAGTTACATTCCCATCAACAATGTGTAAGTGTCTGCCACCATCCACAAGTCCAGCTGCCAACATCCTCTTCAGGGTTTGATTTCATGGTGGTACCCAGTTTGGATGGGGTGAGGTAGAACTCAATGTGGTTTTCATTTTTCTTATTTCCCTCACAACTGAGGATGTTGAGCACTTTTTAAAAATACATTTATTGGCTATTATGTACTTTTTGGAGAATTACCTGTCTATTTGCTCACTTACTCATTGTGTGATTTTATTTTATGGGGTTTAATTTTTTTGAGGTTTTCTTTCTTTTTTCCATTTAAAATGATTTTTATTTAATTAACTTTTTTCATTTACTTTACATACACACCACAATTTCCTCTCCCTCCTCTCCTCCTCCTTCCTCCTTCCCCCAATCCACTTCTTGATCTCAATCAGAAAGGAGCCAGCCTCCTATGAGTGTCAACAAAGCATGACATAGCAAGTTGAGGCAGGACCAAGCTCCTCTGCCTGCATGGAGACTAGGCAAGACAACCCAGCATGGGGAATAGCTTCCCAAAAGCCAGCGCAGGCACCAGGGACAGGTCCTGATCCCACTGCTGGGATCCCCACAAACAGACCAAGCTACACAACTGTCACACACATGCGTAGGACCTAGATTGGCCCCATGCAGACTCCCTAGCTGTGAGTTCAGGTTCCGTGAGCTCCCAGAAGCTCAAATGAGCTGTCTCTGTGGGTTTCCTGTCATGACCTTGACCCCCTACCTCATACAATCTCTCCTCCCTCACTTCAATAGGATTCCCAGAACTTGGCCCAGAGCTTGACTGTGAATTTTGGCATCTGCTTCCATCTGTTACTGGATATCTTCTTCTTTTTTTTTGAGACAGTGTTTTATATAGCTGAGGCTTGCTTCAAACTCTAGACCTTTCTGCCTCTGCCTCAAAAGTGCTGGGATGACAGGCACACACTGTGGCATCTAACCTGAGTTCTCTGTATACTTCTGGTATTAGCCTCTGCTGGATGGATAGTTATTAAATATTTCCTCCCATTCTACACACTCCCTCACTCTGTTTCTGTTGCTGTGCAAAAGTTGTCTCACTCCATGAGAGCCCACGTGTTAATTCCTGAGTTCTCTCCCCAGCCATAGGAGTCTTGCTCAGAAAGTCATCACTTACCCCTATATACTGAGGTGTTTGCCCTGCTCCTCTTGCCATTTCAAGGTTCAGGGTCAGGGTTTCATTTGAGGTTTTCAATCCATTCTGAATCAACTTTCAGGACATGTCCACATCCAGTTATGCCAGCACCATTTGTTGAAGATGCCTTCTTTTTTCCATTGTATAATTTTAGCTTCATTGTCAAAAATCAGGTGTTCATAGGTGTGTGGGTTAATATCAGGGTTTTCAATTAGATTCCATTGGTTTACCTGTCTAATTTGGTGCCAATACCAAGCTGTTTTCAGGACTATGGCTCTATAATAGAGCTTGAATTCAAGGATGGTGATGCCTCTGGAAATTCCTTTATTGTACATGGTTGTTTTGGCTATCCTGGGTTTTTTGTTTTTTCATATAAAGTTGAGTATTGTTTTTACAAGGTCTGTGAAGAATTGTGTTGGGATTTTGATGGGGATTGCGTTGAATCCGTAGATTGCTTTTGGCAAGATGGCCACTTTTAATATGTTGATCCTACCTATCCAAGAGCATGGGAGATCTTTCCATTTTCTGGTATTTTCTTTAATTTTTTTCTTTAAAGACTCAAAGTTCTTACTGTACAGGTCTTTCACTTGTTTGGTTAGCGTTACCCCAAGGTATTTTATGTTGTTTGTGGCTATTGTAAAAGGTAATGTTTCTCTGATTTCTTCCTCAGTTCATTTATCATCTGTATATAGTAGGCCTACTGATTTTTTTAGTTAATTTTGTATCCTGCCACTTTGCTGAAGGTATTTATCAGTTGTAGGAGTTCTCTGGTAGAGTTTGTCATTTCTCTTATGTAAACGAGCATATCATCCGCAAATAGTGAATATTTGGCTTCTTCCTTTCCAATTTGTATCCCCTTGATCTCCTTTTGTTGTCTTATTGCTCTACCTAGGACTCCAAGTTCAATATTGAAGAGGTATGGAGAGAGGGGACAGCCTTGTCTTGTTCCTGATTGTAGAGGAATCAAATTGAGTTTCTCTCCATTTAGTTTGATGTTCGCTGTTGGTTTGCTGTTTTATCATGTCTAAGTATGTTCCTGTTGTTCCTGATCTCTACAAGACTTTTATCATGAAGGGGTGTTGGATTTTGTCAAAGGATTTTTCAGCATCTAGTGAAATGATCATGTGCTTTTTCTTTTTCAGTTTGTTTATATGGTTTATATGAGTGTCGATTCTTGTTTGTTTTGGATTCGTTTTTTGGTGGTGGTGTTGTTTGTGAGTTTTTACCCTATTTCTGGCTTTTGGTAAAGTGAGATTATCTATTGCCTATGTTTTTGTGAGAGTAGTTAATTTCCTTGGGTTGAAGTTTTCCTTTCAGAACTTTCTATAGGGCTGAATTTGTGGATATGTATTGTGTAAATCTGGTTTTGTTATGAAATATCTTGTGTTCTCCATCTGTAGTGATTGAGAGTTTTGCTGGGTGTAGTAGTCTGGGCTGGAATCTGTGGTTTCTTAATGTTTGTAGAACATCTATCCAGGACCTTTTGGCTTTCAGAGTTTCTGTGAAGAAGTCAGGTGTAATTCTGGTAGGTTTGCCTTTATATGTTACTTGGCCTTTTATCTTTGCTGCTCTTAATATTCTTTCTTTATTCTGTATGATTGGTGTTTTGATTATTATGTGGCAAGGGAACATTTTTTGGGGGTCCAGTCTATTTGGTGTTCAGTAAGCTTCTTGTACTTTCATAGATATGTCCTTCTTCAGATTGAAAAAATTTTCTTCTATGATTTTGTTGAATATTTTTCTGTACCTTTCAGCTGTATTTCTTCACCTTCTACTATACCTATTATTCTTAGATTTAGTCCTTCACAGTGTCCCATATTTCCTGGATATTTTGTGTTAGGGATTTGTTGGACTTGAGATTTTCTTTGGTCAATGACTG